CTCCCCGGGGAGGAAAAGTGCTGCCTTGCCCGTCTGCATGGTGTTAGCGAGCGCGGCGAGGAGCTAACGCGGTTCTCTCTCTGCCTGATGTTCTGCAGGAATTCCCTTCGATGGCGGGCTGCGCTGCCTGTGCTGGAAGGTGGGTTTGGTTTGGGGTGCTTTTGGTTCTTGCAAGTGATGCTTTGGGTTGCTGGAGTGCATACAGTTTTTGGGTGCTTGAAACCATAAACAAACAAACAGATCCAGAGCTTAAAAGCCACTCAGAACTGACAGTAATTTGTGGAGATCAGCACTGGCACGTGCGCAGCAGCGTTTACTGACACAGGACGACCGTCAGTTTGGATGATAGAAAGTGGCTGTCTGCTCTTTGCATGAGAGCAGCCCTCGGCATTAAGCTAGGAGCACGTTTCAGTCCAGTTTGCTATTGATCAGTCCTACAGATAGGTCAGTGTTGAAAACCAGTCCCCGAAATATTCTTGACTGATGCTTAGCAAAGTACTGGGCTTTCTGGAGAAAGCTCCCAGTATTTTCGGAGAGCCAGTTCTAGCCACTGCATTTGCTTTGCGCTTCGCACAGGTACAACAGCTCATTCTCCAGATACTGACTTGTGTGCATCTGTCTTCTGTACAGATACTCCTGAACTACCTCCCTTTAGAGAAAGCCTTATGGAGCTCTTTGCTGAAGAAGCAGAGGTGAGGATATGCGTACCTCCTCCTTTATTTCTAATGATAGATGCGGAGAAGAATAGTCCCCTAAATAATTAAGTACCTTCATAAAATGAATGGTTCTTGCACGGACTGTGCTGTTCTGTAGGCTGTCTCCGGGGTCTGATGGATTGACCTCTTCAGCTAAACTCAAATGAAGAAAAAAGCAAATGCCTTCTGGCTGAGCAGGGTGGTACAGAGAGATCTGTTTGAACTCAGTCTGGGTGCTTACGTTGACTTAATCTTCTGCTTCATTGCAAATTCCTCTCTTCTTCCTTAAGGGATCTGTATTCCCAGTTCCTAAAGGAAATGATTATCCAGCCTGGGATTGCCAAAGCCAACCTAGGTGTTTCGAGGGAAGATGTGACCTTAGAAGATCATGTAAGTGCTGTTAAGCCTTTCTGTTGCAGAAGTTTCCTCAGAGCTATAAACTGTTGTTCCGGAGTCTGGACCCCTGGGCTGCTCTTGGCTCTGTTCTTGGACTGAGAGAATTTTGCCCTGCTAGCAGGAGGGTCGGTTCCTAGGTACTAGCTTGGTGCTTATACCTTAGTAGCCTTCAGTGTGAGTTATTGGCAAAGCACCAACAGCTCTGCAGAGAGCTGTTTTCAGCTCTGCAAATCCCTGCTCCCCTCCTCTGGGGCTAGCTGCCCAGGCTACGGGTCTCGTGGGGAAAGGGAGAGGCCCACAGGAGGTGCCTCTAGCAAAGAGATGCTCTCCTGGGGGAAGTCAGGTCCGTGGGTGGGCTCAGAGCAGGCTGCTCCGAACAGAGGGTATAAAAGAGGCAGGAGAGTCAAACTGGAGTATGGCATGGAAGGCAAGAGACTCACTTATTTCTAGTTCTGCTGCTGGGTGGTTTGTTTTTTTTTTTTAATTGACTGCTTCCTGCATCCCTTGGCTTTTTTCTGCTCTGAAAGTGCTGTTAAGAGGTCATGTGATGGGGGAGGGAATGAAGTAACTGATCAGAAGAGACTGTAAAATGATACAGCTGCTTCCATGACTGGTCGTGAACATTCACTTCTCTGCTAGCATGCAGTCATCTGGGCTCCTGTGATCTCTGGAGGCCTTGGTGCTGTGAAACTGGCGTGCTCGTAGCACTCCGCGCGTTGGCAGGTTACAGTGATCTTGGAATCTCTTGGAACACTTTTGTCTTTTTTTTTTTTCTGCTCTTGGTTAGTTGTTAACTTTGCGTGGATCTTGATGTGGCGGGGAAGTGAAATTTGTCATGTTGGAAAACTGGTCAGATACAGGATAGGTTGTTCATAGTGGTATGTGTTTCCTTTTTCCTGGGCACAATTGTGGTGCTTAATCAGCCTTCTCAGAGCTGAGATAGAGGGGAGTACTTGTATCTAACAACCACAGTGCCTGAGTACTGTGGGGGTGGGTAACTCTTACCTTAAGTACAAAGACCGTCTCCCTTGTACAGGTTGGAGCTGCAGTCAGGAATCTTGTTGACACAGGACAGGATACCTGATTTGGGAACAAAGTCATTAAGAGAGAGGTGAAAAGGGATTGGAAATGCTGGCTTCTGCCTCTCCAAGTGAACCTGCATGCTCACTTGTTTCACAAGCTCTCATCCGCTTCCTGCACACTGGAGAAACAACACTAAATGTAGCTAGTGAGAGAAAAAATGATACCTAGTGTGCTGGTACTTGATTACAGGGGGACAGCAGAAATGTTGCATCGGTGTGTATCTGCTGAGGATTTTGATACATGTGAAACATGCTTGTTCTGTTTCTGTTGTTTATTTCTTTAGCCTCTCAATCCAAACCCAGACAGCCGATGGAACACTTACTTCAAGGATAATGAAGTGCTTCTCCAGATAGACAAAGATGTCAGGTGTGTGAGGCATAATGACTCGGGTTTCTGAATCCAAGAGGTTTGGTGAACACTTTGTACTTTGAAAATGAAGTTTAATATTAAACCGAGCCTCCCGTTCAACATGGGGCATGCGCTTCCTTCTGCTTGCGTCTGATTTCCTTCTGTATCCATCCCAGGAGGCTGTACCCTGACATGGCATTCTTCCAGCGCCCAACGGACTACCCCTGCCTTTTAATCCTGGATCCCCAAAATGAGTTTGAGACGCTGCGCAAGCGGGTGGAGCAGACCACGCTCAAGTCACAGACGGTGGCACGAAACCGCAGCGGGGTTACAAATGTGAGATCTAGATGGGGGCTGTCCGTCGGGCAAGGCATGTTAGATGATAAGGGGAAGGGTTTTTCTTGAGGGTTTTTTTTCTGTTTCTCTCTGCTTGTATGGTGGAATTAGACAAATACGCCAATGTATATTGTGTATTCTGGCAGCTAGACAGCTTTGTGGAAACAGTTGATGTGTCTGATGATTGGAAGGGAATTATAAATGTATTTGATTTTAAGAGGTTTTTTTCCTGACTTCTGGTGGAAGTTGGAGTTGCAGGAAGATGCGAGTATTTTATGCTTGACCTGTGCCTTTCTGTATAGGAACAAAACGCTGAAGGGTAAATTTGCTGAAGTTGAATTTTTTACGTGGTCTTCCAGAACTGGATCTCCTAAACCTGTAATTAGGAAGAGCTGGGTGTCAGCTGAGATATGTGTCGTCCCTTTCCTCTTCCGTGAGCATTACAGCACAAGTGCCACATGCTGTTGGGGAAGGTGGCTTGCTACCACAGCAGGTCTATACTTCTCATACTACTGAAAAAAAAGTGGAACTGCTGTGGTTTCTTACTGCATGGGATCAGGTGGTACAGTGATTCAGGGGAACCCTCTGTTGCTGCACAGACTGCTTCGTTCTGCAGGGATAGCCAGCACCAGGACTTCAGTGCCATTGTGCTTCCCACGTTACTTGTCTTGGTTTATGTGAACAACTGCCCGCTTGGTATAAGCTGCCCAAATCTTCTGGGGGCCTGTGTGTATTAAGAGCCAAGCTTGCCACGTGTACAAAACTATCTGCGTGTTGGCTATCCTGAGTCAGCCCTCGTTTTGCCTTGCTTTTCAGGTGAGCTCCCCTCTTAAAACGACTCCCAATTCTCTGAGCGAATACGAAGTTCTGCCCAACGGCTGTGAAGCTCACTGGGAAGTGGTGGAGCGAATTCTGTTCATCTACGCCAAGCTGAACCCCGGGATAGCATACGTTCAGGGGATGAATGAAATTGTGGGGCCTCTTTACTACACCTTTGCTACAGATCCTAACAGCGAATGGAAAGGTGAAAGACTCTTTGGCTGCTCAGTAATGGCTGTCATACTGCATGTTCTCTGTGTAAAGCACTGTTTCGGGAATGAGACTCTCTTTAAACAACTCTGTTTTGACTGTTTGAGGCCTAAGAGCAAGTACAGTAAGAGATGAGGAAGTCTGGGAACCACAGCAAATTGATAGAAACTGAATGGGCTGTGAGTGGTGAGGACATGGGAAGTGAGGATTTTTTTTGTTTGTTTTGTGTGCATCTAGGTTGCACTTTGTGAAATTTAAAATCCCTTTAGAAGTTCTTGTTTGCTCATACTAATTATGACTGGTAAGAAAAGAATGGAATGGGAGTACTTTGCCTGTTGCTTCTACTTCATGGGAGCTCTGAGGGTGTGTGCTGATGGTGCGGAAAGCAGATGGTGTTCTTGGGCAGAGATAACTGGTTTGTGACCCAATGTCATGAAGACCTTGTGTGGCACACAGGCTGTATTTCTAGGGGCTCTGTAGACGTTTCTAGTTAAAAAAAGTGTCTAGTCTTGTCCCAGACCAAGGAAGCCAAGACCTTGTGGGATCTGCTATGTGAATCCAGTACAGCAACCAGGTTATGGAGCAAGAAGAATTCTCAGTCTGTGTGCCTCTGTCAGTGATGCTTCCTCTATTCCCCCGTCTTTTTTTTTCAGAGCATGCTGAAGCAGACACATTTTTCTGCTTCACCAATCTAATGGCTGAAATTCGGGACAACTTCATTAAGAGCCTGGATGATTCTCAGTGTGGTATTACCTACAAAATGGAGAAGGTGTACTCCACTCTGAAGGAAAAAGATGTGGAGCTGTATTTGAAACTGGTGAGGAGCTGGGTGTTTGTCTGGGTTGGAATGCGAGGAGTGGAGCTTAATAGTGTGTTTAAATGTCAACCAATTTTGTTAAACTGTTACTGTGCTTGAATAGAAAGGTTGAGAGAGTGTGTGAAGGGCTTTGCTGTAGGGTGTAGAGGCTCTCTTATCTGTGAACTGAACCACTTCTCTTTGGAGTAAGCCTAGAGCGAGCTGACACAGCAAGGTTTTCCTCCCCTGCCTGACTGAAAGCAAACAATAGTTGTTGGAGAGCTGCTGGCTGTGAGTCCGAAGTGACTTGGCCGCGATTCCTGGTCACCTGGGTTGAGACCTAGTTGGAGCTGGAGCCTTTACTCTCTTCTAGTCATCAGGCAAAAGAGGAGTTTTGCTGTAGAGTTCCTTGGAATCTGAGGTTACGGGAATTGTCTCTGTCTTTAAAAACAAAACAAAAAGCAACCCACCCCCCCAACACTTCTGTTGCCACTGTATGCCCTGACAGCACCAACTTAAACTGTATGGAGATTATTCCAGAAGTAAACTTAAATCCAGCAGACTGGTCCATCCCACTCAGCTAATTCTATCTTCATGCAAGGGTCTCGAAGTGCCTTGGATTGGTGTGGGGTTTGTAGAACATGTAGAAGGCAGGTCTTGTTGAAAACATCTTCAGGTCTTATAGGCCATTTAGTGTGAAAGCCCAAGGAGAACTTGGAAGGGAAAGCTGTTCTTGTTACTCCAGCCTTCACCAAATCACACAGTTTGGTTTTGTGGCTTTTTTTTTTCGCATTTAGAGAAATCAGAATATATTTCTTTTACAATCCAAAAGATGGTTTGTCAGCACAGTGACACGATCCACGGTGGCTGGTGGCTGATTCAATGGGGAGAAAATAAACTGCTTACAGTTTGGCAGGGAGGAAATGGTCTTGGCCACGCAGCAGCCAGTCCTTAAGAATATCAGCAGGATCCTGAACTGATTTGACCTTGGTTAAACTCATGGTCCCTTGGATTTAACACAGAAAACAAGAGAGCTTCAGGCTAGAAGTGCTTACAGTATGTTTTACTGACCATCGCTGTGAACTCTGTACTGTCTTTGTTTCTTTTTGTGAATAGTAAAGCTTTTGATAAATACAGGGCTTATGGAAAGGAGAGGAAATCCTGACAAAACAGTGCCTCTGCTAGAGGGGGAGGGCTGCAGCTTTGCAGATAAAATGCTCTTCAAATGGGAACATTAAAATTACTTGGCAAGTTTAACGGAACTAACATAAATAGTGCTTTTAGGAAGAAAAGCTTCCTTTATGCCATGTTGTGGACAGAGGAGCATTTTCTGGCTTGTCTGTAGGTACGGAGCACGGCTGCATTCAAAATCTCTGTCTGCCGTGAATGTGAGAGTCTTCAAAGGAGGCCGTGGGTTTGCTGATGCTGCAGTGCGAGCTGCCAGCTTAGAGCAGTACCAGGGTGGAGATGGGGATGGAAACAGGGGGTGCATCTCTTACTTGTAGGGATCTGCTGAGAGCACGTATTCATTCTTTGCCTGGTGCATGTCTGACAGCAAGAGCAGAACATCAAACCCCAGTTCTTTGCCTTCCGCTGGCTGACGCTGCTCTTGTCCCAAGAGTTCCTGCTGCCAGACGTCATCCGGATCTGGGACTCCCTCTTTGCTGATGATAAGCGCTTTGACTTTCTTCTGCTCGTCTGTTGTGCCATGTTGACGTAAGTACAGAGGTAGCCTTCCTGCACTTTTCTTTCCCTCCATTACCTAAATCCGTGGATTCGCGTGTCTTCTGTAGGCATATGTTAAGGCATCTAGTGAATAGGTTATAGTCAGTTGTTACAATGGTAGCAAAAGTGTTTTCAAAAGCCTTGATAAGGTCACAGTGTGGTCTGTTTTCAAAATTCCTCTGTAAAGAGTCAAAAGTAGCTGGAATAATTTCCATCTTTCAGACTAATCCGGGATCAGTTGCTGGAAGGAGACTTCACTCTGAACATGAGGCTGCTGCAGGTAAGGATTCAATGTGGTTGGCATAGGGAGTAATCTGAAGAGCCTTGAAATAGTGCTGGGAGGATGATAGCAGGGGTATGCCTGGCTGAAGAGAAGTACCAGGTTTCTGATGGTTGCGTGCAAAAAAATCTTAAGGTGGATCTTACAGCATGTTCATTACTGGAAATATGATTTTTTGCATGCTGTGGTCCCCACCACCCGCTGGGAAGCTGAACAACTGACAAATGGCTACTCTGACTTCCTTGGTGGTGGCAGCTCTGTTCCCTGTGCTGCTAACCGGGTTTTCACTTCCACATGCAGAATGTGGCTGTACACTCTGTTTTGTCATCCTAGCTCTATATGGATCTGTTCTACCTTCCTCCCCCTTTTTAATGCTACAGTAGAAATGGGCCCTGTTTCAGAGAGTAATATTTGTTCTCTGATTTTCAGTTGGTGGGGCACAGTGCTGCTGTCTGGAGCCCACCGTTGCCATTAAAATAAAAGTTTCTTTTGCTTGTGCATCCATTCCAGCCTACAGAGTAATTGTCATAGACTAGAGGTTTTTAATGTCTTTTGGTTTGAAAAAAAAAGTAATATTTTTCCAGCAAAGATGTGAAACCCTGTGTAACAGTGTTGAGTTTATTGGCTGGAGGCTTTTGTGTAGTTCTGAGATTAGTGAGAGCTAAAGGTTGAAAACAGCCTGCACTGCACAGTAGGATATCTCTGATTCTGCCAGTTCCTGCTGTGAGTTGTGCAAGACACACTGGCTTTGATAAGGCTTGCTGGCATGAAGATAGCCCTTGTAGCAGGCCAGCCTACTGCACCCTTGGAGGACAAATAGGAAAAACAACCTTCTTGGAGGGTACTAAGGCTCAATCAGTTACAAAACAGGAAACCGTTAGCTATGAAGGGAGTAACTGAATGTGGGTGTGTGTTATAATAGGGCAAGAATGCTGTAGTCAAGGTTTGCCCTGCTTGAGTGAAACTCAAGAAACGCTAGGTAGTCACATCACTTTGTTTCTTTGACACAGGATTATCCTATCTCTGATGTTCATCTTATTTTGAAGAAGGCAAAGGAACTTCAAGATTCCAAATAGTCCCTGAGCCTAACAAAAGGTATCAGAGGAACTGTACGGCAGCGGATCCCAGGAGATGCCCCCGCCCAGTGTGGTGCATTAAAGCTCCTGATGGTCTCTGCAGGACTTCAGGTTTTGTGTTTGGGCTACTGGCCACCTTGAAGACTTTCTCCTACTCTATTTATTAGGTCAAGGACTGATTACTTCCCCATCTACTTGGGTCCTGCACTCCAGTTTTTTTCAAATCTCAAATGCCTCTGTGCTGCCAAAAGCAGCTCTTCGTATCTTTTTAATGACTGTAAGTTTGGGGAGAAAGAAACCATCTGTCTGGATATCCCAGAAAGGAAGCTCACACGGAGTAACTTCTGAATGGGAAGGGATGGGCTGAGTCCAGTGGATTTCGGTGGGTGAGCATAGAAGGATCTTCCTCCTGTGAACAGAATGTATCCCAATGAAGCCACGCATCCTGCCATTTAAGTAGTTTCTGGGTTCGTCTCCTTCATCTCTGTGCTTAGCCATCCCTGGGATGTGCAAAGAAGAAGATTGCATCAGCTTCTGGTGATTGTCATCTGACATCCAGCAGTTTGGACCACTTTGCCTGGGAAGACGACCTTGAGAAGCTGAGATGGGAGGAAGCTGGCGGCTTTGTGCACTGAAACTGCCTGAATCCAGAATTGCCTTATCAACAAGGCCTCCTTGAAAAGCAGGACCGTGGTGGTTTTAATTAACTAGTGAAGTGTAGTTTGAAGTCAAGCCTTATTACGCACAGCCTTAGAGCAGGAGCTTGTTGCTGCAGAGAGGCCTCAAGCTGCTTTCCTGGCTCTGAACTAGAGCATATCCAGCTACAATCAGGATTCTGAAATACAAGAAATGGGTGTCTAGTTGTGTGCAATGAAGACAGCTGTGTTTAGGGGCTTATACAGGCACGGCACTGGGGTTTTCTGCCTCAGTGGTTTGCATAATACTACCCTGCATAAGCTCTGGTCACAGCGACCTCGATACTGTCTCATGGAGCTTCTTGCCAGGAAGAGACATGGTACAGGTCTGACCTACAAATAAGAGTCCTGTTCTGGTGTAAGCCAGTGGGCATACAAGCATTTCAGTCATTGGCTCACTCCTGGGGCTGATCCACTTTTCTGTGTACCAGTCCTGTTGGAATCATGGTCCCGAGTTGGACACTTGTGCCTCCTGAGAGGGAAACTGCTGCATTTCAAATATGGTGGAGCAGGCTCACGTGGACATCAACTAAGACAAACTACAGAGAGAACTGCTAACCTGCCAGCAGTCGGAAACCATAATCCTCAGAGGGAGAAACAGCCAGCACCCAGGTGCTTGGGTTGTGCAGAAGCTCTTAAATGAACACTAATCCCTTTTCCCTTTGTGCTGTGCTGGCTCACCTCTGCATAGCTGTTTGACACTGCAGTTTTTGGTATTTATGAGTATTGATTTGTTAAATGTCAGTCATCTTTGTAAGATCTGCTTAAGCTACTGATGGCCTAGAATTGCCCTAGCAGGAGGGATGTTGTCAGCCTTCAGCTTTTTTACTAGTGTTACTTCCTTCACTGAAGGCCAGTTCTTTACAGGCTACTGTAATTCTCACCAGGGTGGGTGAGGAGAACGGAGGACAGGCTGATGCATGCGCCTGTGTTCTTTTTGGCAATCCCAAGCAATCTCTGCCTCTTCAGAAGATGCTTGTGTGACACTGGTGCAGCAAGAGCAACTGAAGACTTCAAACAATCTGTAATTAATACCTGTGGCTCACAGTATCCCTCTCTGCTGCAATCCTTTCTAGAGGGTAGAGTTTTCCTCTGAGAAATATGGAACTGATAGACCAGGACAGCTGTGTAATGAAGCATCACGTCTGCGCTGACCACTGGATGGAAGTTCTTCCTGCCTTGTACTGCTGAGCTATTCCAGGCGGTCTCATGGTCTCAGCTCTTGGGTACCCTGCACTAGAGAGGCCGATAGTCAGACCTCGCATGGCCACACAGCTGGTAGGCACAAGTGTAGAACCACAGGGTTGAACTCTTAGGCAGAATTGGACCTTCTCCAAACACTTCTGCCTCAGGACTGCTCTATGTACTGCTGTAGCTCTGTCACATTCCACGTGCAAGCTCTGCTTGCGCCTCCCCGAATACCTGGGCTGTCCATTTTGGGTCCCCCTGGCAAGTGCAGGGTTACTTTATGCTGTATTTTCTCACTACTAACAGGAACATCCATGAGGGTTCCTGCTCTGAATAGCTAGAAGTCTCCTTAAAATAACCTGAGAAGGCAGCAGGCAAATCAGGATTAAAGCATTACTTGTAGATGAACTTGTAGCTTTCAGAGTAGCATTTGGGTGCTGAGGTTGACCTCCTGCAGTGGTGTTGCCCAGCTCTGGGCCGGATGCTGGTCTGTAGAGTTACAAACACTTGCAGAAGGCACCGGGGAGGTGGCTACTCCAGTAGCAGTGCGGGTGGCCATGTGGGTGCGGGTGCCATGCTGTCTCCTCCCTTCCTAGGTGCTGAAGGGCTTATGTTGTGCTGTCTTCTCTTCCGGGGGTGATGGTGCTTTTAACAGTCGGCAGTGGTTTAATGAGATGCGATGAGAGCTTTGGCTGCTTGAAGGGTTCTCTGGGATGAATTCTTTAGCCTTATCCAGACTATGGCTGCTAAACTGATGGAGTTCTTTGGGGAGAACTTGTAACACCTTTGATACATCCAGACAGGCTGGGTCCTACATGAGACGCTGTTTGATGTCCCTCCTTATACCCTGCCATGCGGTAGGACTTCTGTCCTGCTGTTGAAAAGGGCTGTTGAGAGGAGTTGTACTTTACAATGACTTGGGACGTCCATTTCTTTATTCCAAGACTTTCTTCTTTCTTAAAGAGCAAAACCAAATTTTATAAGGGGAGAAAAGAAAGTCTTGTTACTAGCTTTTGAATCTCCTAATGAGTTTCCTTGGCTTCATTCTTCAAAGGCTTTTGGTGATTTTTTTGTTGTTGTTGGTGTTGAGGTCAGATGGTATTTAGCCAGTGGTTCCTTGCTTGTGTGGCCAAGTAACAACTGCTCCACCCTGGAGACGTTTCCACCTCTGGGTTCTTACAATCGCAGTCTGCTGCAGGAGCAGCGAGGTTGGCTGAAGCGGCAGGTCTTTGGGTCGGGAGGTGTTCGTCTGGGGTGCCTCGGGGGACCCCTTGTTTCATAGGGGCCTAAACAGAGGAGTTTCAGATAGCTCTTC